AGGTGGAGCTTGGTGGGAGGTGACTGGATCATGGGAGGGGATTTTCCCCTTGGTACTGTGTCACAGTAGTAAGTCCTCGTGAGATCTGGTTAAAAGTGTGTGGCACCTCCCTCTCTCTTGCTCCTACTCCGGTCATGTAAGACATCCTCCTTCCCTTTCACCTTCCACCATGATTGTTAAGTTTCCTGAGGCCTTCCCAGAAGCTGAGCTGATGCTGGCATCATGCTTCCTGTAAAGCCTGCAGAACTGTGAGCCAACTAAACCTTTTTTTTAAATTAATTACCCAGTCTCAGGTATTTCTTTATAGAAATGTAAGAATGGGCCAGTATGGTAAGGAGTCTGGATTTTATTGCGAGTGCGAGAACTTTGGTGGATTCCACACAGAGCGGCATGGCCTGATTTACATTAAAACATTTGCAGTGACTGCAGATAGGAGAGTCAATTGTATGGAATGTAGCAAACAGTTAGAAGGCTATTGTAGGAGTCCAAGCAAGAGATGGAGGTGGTTTTAACCAGGCTGCAGCAGTGGTCAGATGCGGGATACATTTTGATGACAGATCCTGTAGGATTTGCTGATGAATTGTATGTGGGGCCTGGGGGGAGAAAAAGGCATCAAGAATCATTCCAGTTTTTAGCTCCAAGTGAGTTACCATGAAGAAGAAAGAAATTTGCAGGATAGTGAAGAGCAATTAATAATTTGTTAAGGATGTGTAAAGTGGGAGATTCCTATTTTAGACATTGATGTAGAGAAATAAACTTGGCAGTTGGCACATGTGTTTTCTATTGCTGTGTAACAAATTACCACAAACATCAGTTTAAAACAACACTGATTTATCTCAGTGATTTTGTAAGTGAGACTTCCAGGGACGGAATAGCTGGGTCATTTGCTGAGGGGCTCACCAGGCTAACAGAAAGAGGTGAGCCAGAGCTGTGATTTTCATCTGCGGCTTGGGATCCTCTTCCAAACTCACTGGTTGCTGGCAGAATTCATTTCCTTGCAGCTGTCTGACTGAGGTCCCTGCTTTCCTGCTGGCTGTAATACAAGGATTGCTTTCAGCTCCTAGAGGCCACTCAATGTTCCTTGCCATGTGGCTCCCATGGGCAGTTTACACTATAGCTGTTTGCTTTCCTCCAGAACAGGAGGAGCATATTTCTCTAAGCCTTCACCTTCTTTTAAAGGTTTGCCTGATTAATTCAGGCCCACCCAAAATAAGCTCCTTTTCATTATCTCCAAGGCAAATGATTAATGACCAAATAACAGAAATGATATCACACCACATTCAGAGTCCACCCATAATCAAGAGTGAGGGATTATACAGGGTATGTAAACCAGGTGACAGCAATTTAGGAGCCCATATTAAATCTTGCCTCCCATAGTTGGTTATATGATGATTTTATGAGGCTATGAAACTGAAATTCAGTGGCAATTTAGGATTACAAAGCCGTAGGATTGGAGAAATTACCTACATAGGGATTGTATATAAAAATAAATATTAATATAAAATAATTATGTCTAATACTTGCTAAGTGCATTTTACGTGCCAGGCGCTCTTCTTTGTGTGTGTGTGTGTGTGTGTGTGTGTGTGTGTGAGAGGGTCTCACTCTCTTGCCCAGGCTGGAGTGCAGTGGTACAATCATAGTTCACTGGAGCCTCAAACTCCTGGGCTCAAGTGCTCCTCCCATCTCAGCCTCCACAGTAGCTAAGACTACAGGTGCATGCCACCTTGCCCAGCTAATTTTCCATTTTTTATTTTTTGTAGAGACGAGGTTCCCTTGTGTTGCCTAGGCTTGTAGGAATCTACAAGCCTCATTTCACAGATAAGGATACTGAGGCACAGAGAGGCTAATTAACTTGCCCAACCTTCAACAACTATTTAAATAGTGGAGCTGGCCGGGCACGGTAGCTCATGCCTGTAATCCCAGCACTTTGGGAGGCCAAGGTGGTTGGATCACAAGGTGAGGAGTTCAAGACCAGCCTTGCCAAGATGGTGAAACTCCATCTCTACTTAAAATACAAAAATTAGCCTGTCATGGTGGTGGGCACCTGCAATCCCAACTACTCAGGGGCTGAGGCAGAGAATTGCCTTAACCTGGGAGGCAGAGGTTGCAGTGAGCTGAGATCATGCCACTGCACTTCAGCTTGGGCAACAGGGTGAGATTATGTCTCAAAAAAAAAAAAAAAGAAAGAAAGAAAGAAAGAAAGAAAACAGTGGAGCCAGGATTTTGACCCAGGTAATCTGGTTAAAAAAATCAATCTAAATTCTATTGAAGAAGAGACGTGGGAACAGAACTAACACCTGAATTCCCAAGTTTTTTCCATCAGCAAGAAGAGGAAGTACCAAAGAAGATAGAGAAGCAGCCCATGAGGTAAAAGATTAAATTGGCCGGGGGCGGTGGTTCACGCCTGCAATCCCAACACTTCGGGAGGCCAAGGCGGGCGGATCACGAGGTCAAGAGATTGAGGCCATCCTGGCCAATATGGTGAAACCCCGTCTCTACTAAAAAATGCAAAAAAATTAGCCGGGTATGGTGGCACGTGCCTGTGGTCCCAGCTACTCGGCAGGCTGAGGCAGAAGAATCACTTGAACCCAGGAGGCAGAGGTTGCAGTGAGCTGAGATTGCGCCACTGCACTCCAGCCTGGTGACAGAGCAAGATTCCGTCTCAAACAAACAAACAAAAAAAGATTAAATCAAGAGCAAGCATGGGGTCTCCCAAGATCCAAATTTAGAAAGCTTCATTTAAAGAAATGAATGGTTATCTGGATCAAGTACTAATATTTGTAAAAAAATAAATAAATAAATAAAGGTATACCAAAATGATTCCATCACTAATGCATTCACTCAGTAAATATGTATTGGTCTACAGTGTGCCTGGGGTGGGTAAAGCAGTGACTAAGATAGGCAGGTCCTCTCATCAAGCAGTTTGCATTGTAAAAAGGGAAGGGGAACTGGTAATAAACACGTAAATAAATGCTTAAAGAAGCTCATTCTATAGAGGCTAAGAAGAAAGTTGAGATCAGAGTTAGAGATAATTAGAACTGATGCCATCTTTGCTTCACATTGTATATTGGTCTACTACGGCTACCATTTTAAAATGCTACAGACTGGGTAATTTACAAAGAACAAAAATGTATTACTCACAGTTCTGGAGGCCGGGAAGTACCAGATCAAGACACCAGCAGATTCAGTGTCTGGTAAGGGCCTGTTCCCCACAGATGGTGCCTTCTGTGTGTCCTCTCATTGCAAAAGGAGCCAATAGTCTCCCTCAGGCCTCCTTGATAAGGCACTGTTCCCATTCTTAAGGGTAGTCCTAGCTCTCAAGACCCAATCACCCCCTAAAGACCCCACCTCTTAATACCATTGCATTGTGGTTAGGTTTTAACATATGAATTCACAGGAGACACAAACATTCAGACCATAGCAGTTCTCTTTTTCTGGCTTGTTGAAGGCTGCCCTCTTAACTGTGTCTTCACATAGCTTCTTCTCTGTATCTGCATGGAGAGAGACACAGACAGACAGACACAGATAGAGAGAAAGAGAGAAAAAGAGAGAGCGAGAGAGCACCGAGAGGATGGTATCTTTTCCATTTCTTATAAGGACACCAGCCTATCCAAACTAGGGCCCCACTCTTACGTTCTCATTTAACCGTGATTATCTCCCTAGTGGTCCTACCTCCAGATACAATCACCTAGGGGGTTAAGCTTCAACATATACATTTTAAGGAGACACAGTTCAGCCCATGACATTCTTTTACCTATAAAAGAACTTTCTTACAAAGGGAAAGAAGAAAAGGAAAATAAGTGATCCCTTGTATAGGAACATTAGAGAAATATGGCAAAGACACAGAGTCCTATTTCTCCTATTATATAAAAAATATGGGTGGTTAAAATAACTCAACTGTTAAATATATAATAAAAACCTTACTAATTGATATTCATTGAAGAATTTGTGAAATATTTAAAGTAGTGAATCTGAATGATCAAATTACTGATTTTTATTTATTTTAAAAGAAACCAATGTGTCTACATTTATTTATATATACCAAGAAGTTAAACATATTTATTTATCATTCCATAGTAGGCAATTTCTAGATCTGGCAATCATAGAGCTTCCACATTCATAGGTACTCCCATGTCACTAACTCTTCCTCGTGGGCTTCAGGTGGCCAATTGTAAGCCTCATGAACCTAATGCCCAGCCATAGCAGGTAAGCTGGAGAGTCAATGATGAGCAACCTAAAAGCTGGTCAGGCACACATGAGGAGGACTGGTGCAAAAGGCTCAGCTGGACTGACCCAGTTCCCTCTTGCAGGAATTTGAAATGAGCCAGGGGAATGGAAGGTGAAAGAAAGCAGAGGGACTGTGATGTAGAATCAAGGGTGACAGAGGTTATATCAGACTGTTAAAAGTGATTAGTAACCGTATGTGTGCAGAATCAATAAGTTGGAGAAACTGCATAGAAGAGAGGTTAAGTAGGCAAAGTCAGAAAAAAATGAAGCAGTTTAGTGAGAAACAGACACACAAGTCACAGAAAGAGTAGTCAATTCCCCAGGTCTCGATGTAACACAAGCATAGTGCCCCGTAACTCAGAGACAAGTATGGAGGCCAGGAAAAACAGTCAGGAGAAGAAAACAAACCACTTGGTTGCTAATGACTTTCTGTACACACCTCACTGATGAAAGTTAGGCATCCAAACTGATCAGAAAGAGAAGTTGCAGTATCTCCTACCATGCTTGCCCCCTCTGTGTCTCTGGATGCATAAAATAAAAAGGTTAGGTAACACATATAAAACCCCCAAATCTGTGTCAGTAATTTCTTGCTATAGCATTAAAAAATAAATCCATATAAAGTTAGAAAGGTGGGGAGACATCAGTCCTTCTACTCCTTGTCTATCCACAACTGGTCCAGCTTTTGAGGGTGTTCCACATGGCCACTCCCTACTCATGGAATGAGCTTCTCTTCTGAAACCTTTCCACAGCCCTCTGTCCTTTTCACCACTTACCTATATGGAAGCTATAAGCTCTATTCACCCTCTGTGCTCCAGTTCCATTAGGAGTGCTTTTATTCCTGAGAATGGAAAGGAGAGGAAGGCCATTAAGGTACTATAGTCTCAGGATGAGTTATCTGAAGAAAATTAGGGCATTCTGCCATGAGGAGCTGCCCTCCTTCCTAAGTATTTGTAATTCCATCTTATTGTAGCAAAAAGCCTTCCTTCTTTCTCAAATGTGAACTAAGTAACAAAAAGCTTTCTAGGGTAGATTCTGATAGCTTTCTGATTCATTTTAGGAAACCATTTTTTTAAATTAAGGTTAATGATGAACGTCTCTGTTCTGTGCAATTCAGAAAGCCCAACTAAAGTGGAAAACAATTTTTAATAAGTAAATAAAAATATTATAAATAAGATTTGAGAACAAATGGTTACAGTTAACAGACTGGCCGAAGAATTTCCTATGTGTATTCTGCTGTGATTCTGTTTATTAATAATGTCCTTGGCAAAGTCTTTCTTTATAACTAACATAAAAAATCCATATTCAAATTATTATTAGTTTTGAGTATAGTCAAATCTGAATTATTGAGGTTTTATTATGTTCTCAAACATCATTCAACTTCTGCTAATACATTCAACATATATTTAAAGTTTATTTTATTAATTAGATAGTCACATGCAGAAAAATGAATTAGATTACAAAAAAAAATGGTTCTTACCTCACACCAAATATAAGAATTAAAATGGGTTAAAGACATACATGTAAGAGTTAAAACTATACAACTCTTAGAAGAAAACGTAGGTGTAAATATTTGTAACCTTGGATTAGATAGTTGTTTCTTAGATATGACAACTACAGCATAAGCAATCAAAGAAAAAACTAAATAAACTTTATCAAAATTTAAAACCTGTGCTTCAAAAGACACCATCAGGAAAGTAAAAATGAAGCCCATATATTAGGAAAAATATTTTTAAAACATGCATCTGATATAACCTTTTATCCAGAATATATTTGTTAAAAACTCTTACAACTAAACAATAAAAAGACAAATAACCCAACTTTAAAATGGGCAAAGAATTTGAATAGACATTTATTCCTCCAAAGAAGATTAACAAATGGCCAATGAGTACATGAAAAGATGCTCAACGTCATCAGTCATGAGGAAAACGCAAATCAAAAACCACAATGAGATACTGTTCACACATACTGGGATGGTTAAAATGAAAAAGACAGATGATAACAAATGTCAGTGAGGATGTGGGAAAATGTGAACTCTCATACATTGCTTATGGGATTACAAAACGGCACAGCTACTTTGGAAAGCACTTCGGCAGTTCCTCAAAAAGTCAAAGATAGCGTTACCACTTGACCCAATAATTTCACTCTTAGGTGTATATCAAAGGGAATTCAAAATATACGTCCATGCAAAAACTTAGCGATGAATGTTTATAACCTCATTATTCATAATAGCCAATAAGTAGAAACACCCAAAATATCCATGAACTGATGAACAGACAGACAATGTGGTATATCCATCCAGTAGACATAAAAAGTTGTAAAAAGGAATAAAGTATTGATTCACGGTATAAGATGAATGAACCTTGAAAACATTATGCCAAGTGAAAGGAACCAGACACAAAAGACCACATATTATGTGATTCTAATAGTATAAAATGTCTAAATAGGCAAATCCATAGAGACAAAATAGATTAGCGTTGCTAGGGCCTGAGGAGGGGGAGGATATGAAGAATGAATGAATGCTAATGGTCACAGTGGATTTTTTTTTTAAGATGGTGAAAATGATCTAAAATCAGAAAGTAATGATGGTTTCACAACATTGTTAATATGTTAAAAACCACTGTAGACTCTGAACAAGTGAATTTTAGGATATGTAAATTATATTTCAATAAAGCTGTTAGGTTTTTTAAATAACATACTTTAACATAGTAATGGGTTGGCATAGTTACCCAGCCATATTTTAACCTTATATTTAACTTTTATTATGTATTTAGTTGTTCAGCAAACATTAATTAAGAACCAGTTATTTATAAGCAATCTGCTAGGTACTGGGAATAGAGAGCTGAACATGATCCAGTGTCCCTAGGACTAATGGGACTAGTAGAAAAAGTAACATAAGTTATAATAACATATGATTTGTGCATGTGGAAGGTCCTCACCTTCTTCGTCAAACAGATTCTGCCTCCATACGAATTTGAAATGAGAAACACAGAAACTGTTTTGTGGGAGGTACATCACATTTACGGCAGAGCTCTAAAGCAGAAGTGAAAATCTGGATCAAAAAGAAAGAAGGTGAAAGCAGATAAGCCAAGGGGAGCAGAAGAGAGGCCACATGGCCTGAAAAGGAAGAGAGGGGTAGCCACTGGGGTCTCTGGAAACTCTTCTAATGCTGTTCCAGGCCTCAATGTGTCCTGGTTGCTCTTCAGCTCTAGGCTCCCACATACACCCCTAGTTTGGCTTAGGCACATTTGCATAGGTTTCTGTTCCCTGCATCAGAAATATTCCTGCATGAGACAGCATGTTTTTCTCCTTGGAATGCAGGTGGTTATGAGTGATACTCAAAAATTTTACCCATACATACAAAATCACCTTGACCAGTCCTAATACCTAGAAACTCCAGCCTAAATATAGAGAGGGGGCTCAGGAGACCCATGCTTTGGCAGACATTGGCCCTGTACTTGCTGGACCATGGGGAGACCCAGGCAGGGCCCTAGGTACTGATCTAAGTACTTTTCCCTCTGTGGACTCCATCCTCTGTAAATTATATCAACATTTATATTTTATGGCTATGTCGGTATAAAGACAGATATAATCTTGGCTAGATTCATAATTTCTTTTCTCTTTTTTTTGTTTTACTTTTTAATTCGGATTCATAATTTTATATTCATTATTATATTCATTATTTTAAAAAATCTAAAATTGAAATATTTGGATGGGGGGGCTGAATATATTAGGCACTGTGCCTAGTGTGCCTAATGAATAAGTTGGCCCTGGTCTTAGGAGAGCAGCAGGGCCTATTTCCCAAATTATTACAGAAGTGTTTCAGAATTACAGCTACAGTCATGGCCATACTGTTGTGTACGAGCTGAGTATCAACCCTGTACCTGGCACAGACCACCGAAATGCACATTGTCAGAGGAAGGACCTAATATATACAATTATTATTATTATTTGTACATGTTACTATAGATGCACAATTGATAAAGAAACCACAGCAATATTTTATATTTTTGATTGACACACAGGTGCATACAAATGCACAGGAAATGTTTAGGAAGGATAGACACAAAATTGGGTATAACGGCTGCCCCTGGAGAAGGAAGGAGCCATTTAGGTTTATAAAAGATGGTCAAAGGGGAATATTACTTTATTTGAACGTATGAATTGCTTTACAGAAGAATTTATCTCATGCATTACTTCCACAAAAAAGACATTAAACATTTAATTAAAGGCTAAATATACCATCTGCCTAGAGAAGGCTGATGATCAGCCCAGAAGATCTATCTTGAAGAACTGCAATGTTTATTGCAGAGTCCCCAGAGCCAGACTGCCCGGGCTTGTGGCCCAGCTCTGTCACTGACAAATTACCCATCCCCTCCATGTCACAGTTTCCTCAGCTGTATAATGGAAGAAGTAATCGTAACCTACCTCATGGGGTTATTGTAAGGATTAAATAAATTAATATATGCAAAACTCTTGGAATAGTGCCTGGTGCATGTTAGACTATGTTTTAGCTTGTGTTATTGTATCATCGATTATTTCTATGTTTAACAAGTTCTCCTAAATGTTCCCTCCAGTACAGAAGCTGGAGAGCTGCTGCTGTCTATGCACAGACTCAAGGATTTGGTGCAAGCCAGCATAGAGGGAAATGAAAGGCATTTCCAGGAATGAAGAGTAATCAAAGGTTGAGTTACTGAGGTTGGCAGTGAGGTCAACATGAGCTGCCAGCCTTCTTGGATAAGGGGAACAGCTATGCACTCACTGGGCAGTCCATTACAGAAAAGAGAGGCAGGTTTCATTCTGTCCAAACCACAACATACCGAGGCCTATGTGCCAGGCCCTGGGCTGGATGCTGAGGGTGCTGAGGAAGAATACCATGTTAGCTATGTTCCATGAAGGACTGCATCCTCTCGAACAGGCACCTGGAAGAAGATTTAAATTTCTTGCTCAGCAGACACCCACTAGTGTCATGCCCCTCCCCAAATCACCAAGGGTTCTTTTGCCAAAATGAATGCCTGCTTTTTTGAGCTTTTTTCCATTATATCTAAAGAGAAAATAGTTTACATTTTACTGACAACAGATAATAAACTGGCCATCAAATTGACATGCAGATTAATTATAGTTTATGATCAGCCATATGAAAGAAATATAGTGGGCACTGTTATAAAGAATTATGAAGCAAGAGGATCCCTTTACATAAAGTAATTGAGGAAAAGGTCTCCGAGAAGGTAAGGTTTAAGGAAGGAGCCATCTCTGCAGGAGGAGAAAGTTTTAGTCAAAGCAAGTCTAAGCTGTAGAGGCGATGAAATAGAAATGACCTTGCTATGTGTGAGGAAATACCATAGGCTTGTATGGTTAGTTAGGTCTGAGGCAAAAGGAAACCAAGTCAGAAAGGTAAGCAGTAACCAGATGATATTGATTCAAGGTGAAAATGTGAAACAAGGGTCTTAAGACAGAAACAACAGGATGTGATATTTCTGCACTCTTTTTTCTCCACATTTGTGAAAATAAAGGAATCACTAATTATTTGCCTACAGAAATGCTAGAGGACAATCTCCTTCAAGGCATTAATGGAGCAAGGAAAGGCACTTTATCATTTACAAGCATTTTTCACATAGTTTTTTTCCCTTTGTTCATCATATCATTTTATTTGAACCACTAGCATTTTAAGGTATTATTGTTGACATTTTGTAGATAAGGAAAGAGACTCAAAAAGGTCAGAGATCTTACTTAAGCTCACATAGTGAGTATGTGGTTAAACCAGGTGTGTAATTTAGGTTTCGTGGCTCTTGTCTTCTTTCTGCTAGACTAGATTAAGAGGGACAGGATGAGGACTCTTAA